CAGTTGGGGACTGAAACTCAACATCAAAAAAACTAAGATCATGGCCACTGGTCCCATCACCTCCTGGGAAATAGAAGGGGAAGACATAGAGGCAGTGACAGATTTTTATCTTCCTGGGCTCCATGATCACTGCAGATGGAGACAGCAGCCACGAAATTAAAAGACGCCTGCTTCTTGGGAAGAAAGCAATGACAAATCTTGACAGCATCTTAAAAAGCAGAGACATCACCTTGCCAACAAAAGTCCAAATAGTCAAAGCTATGGTTTTTCCTGCTGTGATGTATGGAAGTGAGAGCTGGACCATAAAGAAAGCAGACCGCCGAAGAATTGATGCCTTTGAATTGTGGTGCTGGAGGAGGCTCTTGAGAATCCCCTGGACTGCAAGGAGAACAAACCTATCAATTCTAAAGGAAATCAACCCTGAGTGCTCACTGGAAGGACAGATCCTGAAGCTGAGGCTCCAGTACTTTGGCCATCTCATGAGAAGAAAAGAGTCCTTGGAAAAAACCTTGATGTTAGGAAGGTGTAAATCAAATCAAGCCTAAGTGCTCACTGGAAGGACAGATCCTGAAGCTGAGGCTTCAGTATTTTGGCCATCTCATGAGAAGAGAAATCTCCCTGGAAAAGACCCTGATGCTGGGAAGAAGGCAAGAACAACTTAATGACTAAACAACAACAGGGAAGATAATGCTGGAGGAACTTACAAAGTATAATTCCTCTGTGGTCAATTCATACTGGTGTGAAGCCAGAGGGAGATGAGGAGCAAGTTTGTTGTGGCAAATGCCCCAGTTTCAAAGGGGAGCATGGGAAAGAAGAGATAAAACTTGAGGGACTTAGGCCACACCCAGTCTCTATGAACACTACCTGAGGCAGCTCAAAGGCTGCTGCAGCAAGTGTGCTTTGATTAATGTCAAGTAAATTTGTATCTGAGGTAAACTAATCATGTTGCTTGAGTAAAAACTGTTAAGGGAATCTGTCACCTTTGCTTCCAACACATCCTTTCACCCACTCTGTTGCTGCGGCAACACTCTCCGTGCTGGTGACCTCCAAAATGGTGGTTTTGAGTCGCCCCGAGGTGACCTTCTGCAGCTTCTCTGCCCCTTTCTGGGAGTGACAGGCGGCCAGCACCCACATCCCCTGGGCATCCAGCTGCCTGGCAAGCTGGTTCCCAAAGCCAGAGTCACAGCCGGTGATGAAGACATATTTCTCTGTCAGGTTCTTCACAGTCTGTCTCTCCTGGTACCATCGGTGAAGGAAATAAAGCCCCAAGAGGGCAACCAGGTAGAGCCACATGGCTAAGATCTGTGAAGAAGACAAATCAGAACGGGAGAGCATTAGCTCTGAGTTGTAGCCATGCATGGCTTAAAGCAATGGTCCCCAACCTTGGGCCTCCAAATGTTCTTGGACTACAACTCCCAGAAGCCTTCACCACCACCTCTGTTGGACAGGATTTCTGGGAGTTGAAGTCCAAGAACATCTGGAGGCCCAGGGTTGGGGACCAGTGGCTTAAAGGTCCTGTATCTGTTGTCATTGGAGCATCTGTCAGTAATAAGTAACAAAGTGAGCCAGTTCCAGTGGAGGTTTATTGAGATCAATGGACCCAAGGCCATTTGTTAGCAAATGCAATAAGGAAAGTCCAAGAACATCTGGAGGCCCAGGGTTGGTGACCAGTGGCTTAAAGGTCCTGTATCTGTTGTCATTGGAGCATCTGTCAGTAATAAGTAACAAAGTGAGCCAGTTCCAGTGGAGGTTTATTGAGATCAATGGACCCAAGGCCATTTGTTAGCGAATGCAATAAGGAATGATGATTTAATTGATGGTATGGGTGAAAATAATAAAATAAAGATTAACTTATTTGCTGATGATTCCCTATTGTCAGTGAAAAGTCCACTAGAATGTATAGATAGAATTAAAATTCATTTAGAAAAATTTGGAATTATAAGTAGATTACATGTAAATTGGCAAAAATCTGAAATAATGTTTTGTCATAATAAACTAGAACAAGAAAAGTTTGTTGATAAATATGTTTTTAAGATATGTAAATCTGTTAAATATTTAGTTATAGATTTAGTAAAAGATACCCCCAAAAATAAAGGACCATAATTATAATAAATTAAAAAGAGATATTAAAAAGAAATTACAGGAATATTCTAACTTAAAACTTTCTTGGTTTGGAAGGATTGCGCTGATAAAAATGAAGATTCTACCAAAAATTAATTTTTTATTTAGAATATTACCAGTACAGTTAATAGAAGATGATTTTAAACTTTGGCAAGGAATGATCAATAAATATTGTAATGAAGGGAAGAAAGTCAAAATAAATAATAAGTATTGGTA